CATGAGACCCAGCCATGAACCTACCAATTCAAGGTGTTCAGAAAGGCCTGCCAGGGGAAGCAGCTCTTTTTTACCCCTAGGGGACTCACAGGAGGAGCACCCCATATGTGTCAGGAGGCGAGGTGTCCTCAGAAACTGCACACCAGAGAAAAGTCTTTCCTGTGTGGTCAGTAAGGCAGCCTTCATTCAAAATCCCTTCCTTGTCTGACACCAAAAGTTCCAAGCAAAGGAAGGTGTTTTCAGGGCAGCAAATATGAGAGAGTTGCAGCCAAAGCCCCCGCCTCCTTCACACAGTCCGAGCCGCAGATAGGACTTCGAGGTGCGGCTGGGAAGCCTTCTTTCGCAGTTCCTGTGTCATCCATCACCAGGAAAGCCACATACTGATAGGGATTTATGAGTGCCACCAATGTGAGATGCTTTCTGCTAAAGATACACACTTGAGAGTTTACACCCCAGGAAGGCCTTGGACTGCAGGGAGGTGGGGATTCCCTCAGGGTCTCTGTCCTTGCTCGGGAGAAACACATTCATACCTGACAGGAGTCCCTGGAGAGTAGCCTTCAGAAGAAAGCTTTCCATCATGATTCACCGCTGTGTACAGTAACACCCTCAGCGGTGGGGAAGCCCATGAGCTTCCGGGTGCGCACCTACGGGGCCACGATGCACTTTCTGGCCTTGCTGGGATGGAGCGGTTTGACCCCTGCGGCCTATAGTAGAAGCCTCCCCTCCCCTCCATCCCAGCCGTGCTGAGATGTACAGCAGCCCCCCCATGTCCTCAAAGGTGGCCTCCTGTGTCTCCCTTCCCTACGACTGGGTTAGGGACTGAACTGACCCAATGTGGCCAAGAGGACCTGCAGAGTCCTACTGGCAGCTTCTGGACAAGGTTCTCTTGCTTCATGGATCTTTCTGTGTGTTCATTTTTGTCTATGTGGCAGCTGCAATGGCTCCAACCAGGCCATGAATGATCTTATCCTGGACTGAGGACCCAGGCATGCCCTGCACTGAGTGATAACAAAAGCTTCATTGTAAACCACGTTTCATCTTGGTCGACCTTTGGGGTTTACTGAAAATAGGAACGGATGGCTGCCAGCTGCAGGGGGTAGTACTCAGTGCCGGCAGTGCGTGCCTGCAGGTAGCAGGGTGGCCTCCTCCTATTGTGGGCCCATGTGCACTGCCGCCCTAAGGGTTTCTGGGACACACTGAAGGAACACACCTTGCCATCTGGAATTCAGAGTCAGTTCTGAGTCCAGACCTCATCCTGGGTTGGGAGGAGTTGTCTGCAGTCCTGGAGTGGCCTGGGAGGGCCAGCAGGGGGTCAGGGGAGTCTGGATTTTCCCACAGTGGGAAGGGAAGCTGTCTCCTGGGATCTGCTGGGTGTCCACTGAGACCCCCGCAGCCAGCTGAACAGCATGTGTGGGTGGGAAGAATGGCTGTGATGTAACAGCAGCTTCCAGGCCAACCTGAGCTGCCTGTGTGTATGTACGGCCTTTCTGAGTGAGCTCGAAATTTGAATACTTATGTGAAATCTCCTAATTTTATAAAATGTGGGCATCATTGTTTTTACAACTTTACTGTGTGTCATTGCTATCAAATAAACTGCACATCTGTATTTTATTTGAACATGAAGCCAACTGAGCCATTTCTCACCCCGAAGACTCCCAGGGCCCTTTTCATCCCATCCCACACCCTGTCTGCCCCCACCCCATCTCTAGGCAAATGCTGGTCTATGTCCTGTCCTGCAAATTGTTCGCATTTCTAGACTTTCACAGAACTGGAATCATGAAGCTCCCCCTTGTTTCACTGGTTTGGCTTCTTCTGCTGGCAAACTTGTTTGCAGACCCACCCTGGGGTTGCGTGGAGCTGCACTGCTTCGCGTTTTTATTCCTGAATAGTAAACCACTGCATGGCTACAGCAGCGGTTGTTCCCCATGCCCCTACTGTGGGACATGTGCGTCATTTCCAGTTTGGGCTGGACACAAAGCTGCTATGAATATTCACATACCAACAGCAAGTTTAATTTTAGAAGATATCTCTACTTTTTGGTCAAAAATGCAAATATCTTTGAATGCCTTAATTTTATGCCTCATGTTTACTCACAGTATTGCCCAATAACTTTATAAACATTTCCATAAATCAAATATTACCATATTGATTGTGCTATTTGGTTTAGCCTTATCTATGTTTCCCCAACAATTCCTTCTCAAATTTTAAGCCTTCCTTCTGGGATCATTTGCTTTCTTTCTGAGATGTGTAATTTAAAAATATCGGAAAGGTTTAGATGGAAGTAAATTCCCTGAGTTTCTGTTTGCCTGAAAATACCTTTTCTTGTTGTTGTTCTTATCCTTTTTTAAAAAAAGATTTTTCTTAAATATAGCTTTACCTTAACATTTATTGTCTTTCCACACTAGCTGCTTTGGAACCTCTCTCTGACTTTTGTGTTCCGCAGTTTCTGTGTGATCTATTCAGATGCGCTTTTCATTTTATTTGCTACACCTTAAAATTCACTGGGGTTCTTGAGTCTTAAAATTTGTGGGAAGTTCTGCTTTGTTACATATTTAAATATTTTCTTTCATCTGTTCTATCATTTTCTTCTAGAAACCAATATTTGAAATTTCTAATTTTATGTTCAATGTTTTCTAACTTCTCTTTCATACTTCAAATCTATTATTATATTTTTTGGTGCATTTTGAGTAATTTTAATAAGGCAAATGTTAGATCTTGGTTACAATTTATATTCACCTATATTATCTCTGTTTAGCCCATTTGGTAAATTTTGTGTCTATTACAATTTTTAATTCTGGAACTTCTCATATTTGTGTGTGTCTATCTTTTAATATGATTGGATATTTCTGGTAGTCTTTTGTTTTTTAATCATTTGTTATATGCACTTCCATTTATTAAACACGTTAAGCACATTGATGTCCTGTCCCCGATAATTTCAATTTCTGTATTCTCTGCAGATTCGAATTCTACTCACTCTCATTCACAATGGCTTGTTTCTACTTGCGATTTTCCTGATTGTGTAGTATGACCTGAGGGGATGATTTGGGGACTTATTTGATAGCACTGGCCTCTTGGAAAGAATTGGGTTAGTTTTAGCCGAGTTCTGGGCACTATTAACTCATGGCCATGTTAAATGTCATTCTAGATTCAGGGCTTTCTATGCCACACAGAAAGAGTTATTTTGAGCCCCAAACTCAGGGGCACATAGGTTTATGCTTACAAATTTTTAGGAGCAATATTTTCTACTATACCTGCAGTATGACAGGCAGTGACAGCTGGCACCTTCCTCTCCAGCTGGTCTCCCTGGGGTGTCCTATTTTTCAGGTGCTTTCTGTAGCTTAACTCAGCTGCAGTCTTGGGCACTTCTGCCTAATCTGAAGCTCTAGCCACCAGCAGTTAGCTCTCAGTTTTGCTTCAGAGTCTAGCTTCATCATTCTATTAGCATACACCTTGTCCTTATCATGTTGTCAGCACAGTCATTCTCCTAATAACACATGTGTGCAATTTAATTATATGATATGTACTGCAAGGGTTTTTAAGGGTATCAGTTCACCATGCTGTCAGAAATAGAGCTGCAATATAACTTAACTTTACTAAATTTTATGTATTGGTATCTAAGGTGAGTTGAATATTCAGCAAGGGAAAGGCATGATTTTCAACCCCAGTGAATCAGTTTCACCCTCTGACTGCTCTGAAGCTAACACCTTGAAGATGCTAGATTGTCTATTCTGCTGTGACTGAATCCTGCCAATTAATATCAAGGTCGACGAGAGGTAACCAGACTGTCAACAACTGAAGTAGATTTTCAAAGGACTTCACATTACTATAGAGATGATATGGAAGCCACAATGTTACACACACCAAAGGGTGTATGTATGGGTGGGTGCAGATATAATCATCATATATAATCATATTACATATGCTGTATGATATTTACATTACATTTGCACACATGCATATATGTGTAATTATACTTAAGAATCCTGCTCCATAAAATACATATACCTTTAATTTTATCCCAGTAGCAAACTCATGAGAGGCCTCAGTATCCGTGAGTGACATACAAGTCATTATTTTTCTTCAGGATTTGCATTAATAAACAGCTGTTCATGGTGTCTGGCCCCAGTCTCACGGGGAATAACTGTCACTGCCGCTCCCGGCTCCCTCCACACCCTGCAGCCACCCCACCAGACCGGAGAGAGAAGCCCATCCAACGGTCCGCGCGCAGACACTGCTCCTGCTGCTCCCGACAGACCTGGTTCCTTAGGGGAGATAGGAACTGCCAGCCGCTGTGACAGTTTGTGGACTAACGTGGACACATGTGTGGGCATCGTACCAGTGTTCACAGCACAGGAAATATATCTACAGCCCAATTATGAGGAACCCAGGGATTTTCTGAGGTAAAATGTGCAACAATATACAAATTACAAACAGAACCATAATAGACAAATTATTTTAAGAGCTTCAGTACTTTCAATGCTCTGTCTGAAACGTATGACATGTTTGCAAAGAGAAAAGGCATCGCACAGAACAGAGGAAGGTGGCACAGCTGTAGAGCTAGGCATCCATTCCAGGCCTCTGAACAGTCCACTGTGCCAGAAAAAGGGCATGAAGAGATAAAGCCACAAAGCAAGTTTGAAGGATGTGGAATATAAATATAAAATAGCACAGTATTGGGAAAAAGATTAACATTACAGCTTTGTTATTTTCTTTTGCCCCGCTCTGAACTGGTTCTTCTTTGTATTCCACGAATGTAGTAGTTTAAATTTGCATACTTTGACAGAGTCATTCAAAGTGGCTAAGTCCCTAAGCAAGTGACACTGGGAGGCAGTGGAACAGGTAGCATTTTTGGTGAATATTATAAACACTTTTGAATATTTTAAGATCTTTGATGAATATTACCAGATGGAAGAAAAGTCAGTATCTTTGTCTCTATTCTAATTTTTTAGGACTTGCTGCAAATGCCCTGATGGAGAGAACGGGTGTGACCAGGTACTTACTGCTCTCGTCCCGGGGCAGTTTGGGGATTGGCATTCACCGCTCATCCGGTTTGGGGTTAAGACATCTTCCCAGCAAGAAGGACCCTTTAAGAAAAATACAACATATGCTTGGTACACAAACTGTAATACAAAAGTACTTCCTGACACATTTTCTAAAATTGATTCATATTATAAAATGATAATGAAAGTAATGCATAGTCTAATGATTTTCAAAGTGTGATCCATAGACCCTGGGGGGACCTTAAGACCCTTTTGGGGAATCTGGTAAATCAAAGCTATTTTCATAACTAGACCAAGATGGCATTTGTTGTATTGTTCTACCTATAGCACATTTACCTCTACTAGTCTCCCCACTAGTCACATTTAATTGTTAGAAAACTTAAATAAATATTTTTCTTAAGTTCTCTGCAATTGAAGCTGACAACTTTTAAATGGAAACACACTCAAAGACACATGCAAATACACCCAAAAGGACCCTCTGCAGGCAGGGATGGGACTTGTAGAGGCACACCTGGCAGAGCCCACCTGTCCCAGGTGGCAGGCTGACAGGTACACCCATCTCTTTGGTCCTGAGACACCATGAGCATCACATGTTAAAACCAGGACCCTGCAAACCACTATCCCAAGGAGGACAGAAGATGGAGTGCTGGCTGAGAAGGGATTTCCCTACTCTTCTGGAAACCTGCAATAGGCTGCAGCAGAGGTGGGGCCTCTGCCCTGCAGGACCACCAGGAGTCTGAGGGCTCAAGAAAAGACAGATGGCAAAGTGGGACCTGGAGCAGCAAACAGGAAGGAAGTGAAAATTCATCAAGAGAAGATCCTAAAACCATCTAGAGAGAATGGTCAGATCCCTTACTTAGAAACCAAAACCAAAATAGCATTTTGTAAAGATTGGAGGGAAAGCTTTTCAACCTAAAATTCTCTAACTCAACTAACTTTTAACCTTAACTAACTTAACCTTAAGAAGGATGATGATAAGGTAGGACAGGGGCAGGCCTGGGAGGCCTCAGAGCCCAGGAGAATGTCAGAGGGCCTGAGGGAAAGCAGGGTGGCCCAGCTTTGGCCTCCCCCATGAGGCATGACTGGGAGGGAGTCCCGTGGAGCTGGGGCATCTCCGTGGCTGCGCTGGGCGGGGGAGGAGAGGGGGCAGTGCAGGCTGCGGGATGACAGAGCTCCAGCAGATGTGTCGGAGGGCCCGCGTCCAGCCAGCCAGGAAGGCTGGAGCCAAGGGCTGGTGGCCCTGGCGATTTACTTCCAAAGGCATTGGGGTGGGGCCAGAGGTTTAAGTGAGCAGCGAAACAGTCAGCACCAGTCAGCACCAGGCCACCCCCTCAAGGTCCGCCTGGCCACCAGGCTGAGGAAACTAGTGAATATGTGGGAGGCATCAAGGATCCCAGTCACTCCTGGGTCTCCATCAGGCCTCTCCACCCTTCACACACACACACACACACATCACACCACCCCACACACCCCACACCACAACACTCATGTAGGTACCACACTCACACCCACATCACACACATACACACGCACATACACAACTTCAGAGAAAAATGGGGAAGCAGAGGAAATCTGGGCAATTGAGCATCCGCTGTAAAGAGGCTTAGCTAAACTTTTACAGAGGCTATTTATACCACTCCCCCAAAGGAGCTAAATTTTGAATTCATAGATCATTAAACCAAACACCACGGCTTCACCTAGAAGGATGTAAGAGACCATGCAGAAAAGAGTCAACAGCCGAGATCACTGTCTCCTTAGGGAGGCTGCTTCCCAGGTTGGCCCTGGGCTGGCACCTGGGAATTGGGACTTTGGAGTGTCCCCCATTCCCTTACTGATACAGAGGGTTTGCAGCATCCAAAAAGGCTGTGTGGACAATGGTTGGTGCCGAATCCCTTGGTACCCATGCAACTCTGGGATTGTGGTATGCCAAGGGTGGGGTGCACCAGACCAGCCCCCAGCAGAAACCCAGGGCACGGAGTCACCAATGAGGTCCACCAGGGTGGCACTTCACGAGTGCAGCCCCAGCTCTTTGCTGCAGGAGCAAGCGTGGCTCTGCTGGAGAGGACACTTGGAAATTTGCTGTTTCCTCTGGACTTCATTTCACATTCCTTTTCCCTCTGCTGCTTTGCATCTTTCTGGTGTGTGGTAAACCTGACAGAGGCGTATGATCCTACACTGAGTCCGCCTTCGGGTGAATCACTGAACCTGGACATGTGAAGCAGTCTTGGGGACCCATGACACAATGACATTGATTCATCATCAAGGGCATGTTCTCCCAGCTACACGGAAGGGCCAGTGCTGGGGATGAAGATCATATCACATCAGTTATTGGGAATACGAAATTGCATTTTCTTTGCACATCTAAGTGTAGTGCATACATTTATAATCCACTGTGGACATACTGATATAAACACTCACTTGATTTTCAAGCTTGTACTTTTGAAAATAGACAGAGGACTTAAATTACGGTTATATGTGTTATGCAGTTCAGACAGTATAAAAGTGGAGATGCAAATGTTAAGAATTGGAAGGAGCTGGAGAGAAGAGGGGGATTAAAACCCTTACCCTACAAGCTGCTGTTTTTTTTTTAAGAAGGCCATCTGTGGATGTGATGTTTAAAGATGTGCATATATTTATTTATTAAAATGACAAACATATAGAAATAGAAGAAATGATGCCTAGAACCTCAATCACATATATTGGCCCTGCTTTTCTAACCTAGGGGAGACATTCAGTGTGCAGGTGTGGCTGGAAGGCTGTCTCCCACATCATACTTCAGCCCCCGATGAGGAAACGGGTGCATCTTGGAACTTGGCGTATTTATTTTAAAAATCTGTTTCTCTGTAGGTAGTGGTTTGTTTTGCTCCACAGACACTACGAACCAAGTTTCGCTCATTTTTAGACAACTAGGAAAACCTCCAAGTCAGATTTGTGCACAGCTCTGGTAACATCACACATACCATGTAATAAATATAAGGTTTACTAATGTTACCCTTGCCTTTGTATTATTTTCCCTTGACTTCTTTCCTCACCCATTTGATTATTCTTGTTTTTAGTCTCAAAGTATCCCTGTAAATTTGTCCAAGCATTTTGAAGCGAGTCAGGGTAAAATGAAATGATTGTGAGGGTCTTGTGACTCCCTCTTTTAACTCTGCAGAATTACTGCTGGCTTCTACCAAGGGTGGCTGCTCATGCCCCTGCCATCCGGGACAGTGGCCGCCTGTCCTCAGGGGACCAGTGGTCCCTGGTGGGACGACGGAGGCCAGCACTGGCTCCCACCGACTGGTGGAGGCTGACGGGAGCTGCAGCACCCTGAGGCTCTGCAAAGTCGCTGGGTTTATAAGAAACCCGATTTACTGTGGATGACCATTGACCGGACAGGGAGGCGTTGTTTTCTTGCTCTGTTAGCATGGAGCAGTTTCTTCTGATGCCCGTTCAGGAAGCACTTGGGGTGGCAGTGAGACCGAAAGCCAACATCAGCACGGCCTGGGGGAGGGGCGCTGATTTAAGGGCAGGAAGAGGTCCCGTTGGCATCCCACTGCGCAGAGTAAGAGTTCTCCTCAAAGTCTAGGATGAAATGAAGCTTTCTGTGCACATCACAGATACTTATTTTTTATGCCTTAATTTTTCAGAGTTCGAAAAGCAACATGTATGTAACAGTTCCTGTAACTGTCACATGAGGTACTACTTTGTCTGACAAATCCTTATTCTGTACAAGCAAATTACAGAAAACTCATTCATAATTTTCTTCGTGAACTCAAACTGTAACCAAATAATAAAAGTAATAAAACTGAATAGAATTCCATTGCCTATGGGAATTCAACATAATGAAATATATATTAGTTTATCTGCCTTACGCATACTATTAGTATTGAATGCTTTTGCTATAACTATCCTGAAAAGAGAAACAAATGTCTCAGTGGATTTATGTTATTACAAAGCAGATTTAGCTTTCCTCCTTTCTTGTTTTGGAAAATATAAAATGTTAACTGGTTAATCATTGCATACTGTGTTTTAATTGCCGTATGATATAAGTATTTGTAATTAGTAGTCTTTACATAGGAATAAGAAAGGGCTCCACACTACAAGCTTAAAAAGGATTGCAAATCACATTGTAGCAGAAGAGAGTATGGATTAGAACGTTTCAAGAAAAGAATTCCCCCACCCCCCCCACCAAATGTATTTCATCTCTCAAATCTGAGAAAGATGTCCAAAAAAAATGTCAGGTAAAACAGTGTGAAATACATGTCTCAATAAAGAATCCTTGGGCTGCCTTTTAGAAACCTTTCTCCTTCTTTTATACAGTATAACTTACAAGCAAGAAAATGCATAAATTCTTTGAGCATCTATAGCAGGAGTAAGCAAACGCTATAGCCTGCTGGCCAGATCCAGCCTGGGGCTTGTTTCTGTACAGCCCATGGGCCCAAGTATGGTTTAAAATTTTTAAATCATTGAAAGACATAAAAAATAAAGAAGAGTATTTCATGGCACATGAAGACTGAATGATATTCAGATTCCCACGCCCACAAACAGCACGTGGTGGGATGCGGCCCTGGTTGTGCCCCTGGTTGTCCTTTATACATGGTTCTTGCTTCTGCACTGCGTGGGCAAAACTGAGTTGGGACACAGAGGACGTGGCTTGCAAAGCCTAAAATATTTACTGTTCAGCTCTTTATGGAAAACTTTTGCCAACCTTTTATCGTTTGTAAATTAAATGGCTCAAGTTCATACCGAGAAGTATTTAAAAAAAAAATACAATGTGGCAGCATGTTGACCACTACACAATCTGACTAGTTGGCAAGAGTTGCTGCATCTCGGGTCTCCAGTGAGAAATTACTTAATTTAAAACCATAGAGCTGCTGACCTGAAAGGCCTGAGAAGATGTTGTTAAGAGGCAGTGATTTGCGTGCCCAAGTTGGGGGGATGGGAGGTGGAGGGGGAGCAGAAATCACTAGAGGTGACATGTGGGGATCAGGCCGGAGGGATAGTACCATCAACAGAAAAGTATGGGGCCGAATATTATTTAAAAGCATCTATACAATGCGTGTAAATTAGAAGTTCAGAAAAAATGACTCAGGGGCATG